CTATTTTATGTCATATCTCAGGCGAGAATGTACATTTACGAAATACACGCAACGAGCTGCATGAAGGCAGACAGAATTTGATAGAAGGTTGAATGCGTAACATAATGAACTTAATTTAGTGTTTAATTTTGTTATATGTACATTCCTAGAAATTGTGTTATCTGAACATCACGTAATTGCATATAATTCGTTTTCAATGGAGCATGTGATTGCTGATTTGAAAGGCAAAAGTGCATTGAAACTGTTTTTCCTTCATTAACTATTAATTTGTTATTACAAAACCAATTTGAGACTTCTAAAACCTTACTATTTATTGTTTCTTTTTTGCAAAGAACATTCGTGTCATCTGCAAACAGAACCGTTCTCCCGTTTTTAATAGACGACAGCATATAGTTTACGTATAACAGAAAGAGGATAGAACCTAAGAGCGAGCCTTGCGGAACCCCATATTCAATAGGTAAAGAATTGGAAAGATAAGTAAATAAAGTAATCGCGGTGGTGAATACTGCTGGAGAAAGTCTTGAAAATCAGAGAGAGATTACAGAACATCTTCAGATGGAAGGAAACCAAGAAAAGGAGCTCTGGGAAGAAAAGCAAAGAAATAAAGGAAAAAATAACCAAAAGAAAGAAGAGCATAAGACAAGTAATAAAATTCAACCCAGCTCTCAAGGTGACAGAAAGGCAAGGTGAAACATACGTAGACATTATAAAGTGGATGAAGAATGTCGTGGATCCTAATGATTACGGCAAGAAGATACCAGATGGAAGGAGAACGCGTAAGGTGGATGCGCTCCTTGTACTAGAAAAAACTGGCAATATTGACGCGTTGAACGAGGCTCTGGAGAAGGCGGTGGGGGAACGAGCCAAAGAGAGTGTTCTTACGCGGAAACGCCAAGTGGAAATTAAAGATATCGACGAAACTGTCACGAATGAAAAGGTACTAGAAAAAGTGAGCAAGACAATAGATGTAACGGCAGACCAGATCTCCGACTCCTGTTGGTTACGTAGGGGATATGGAGGAATACAAACAGCCACAATGCTACTGGTTGAAAAGGTAGCCCAAATGCTCACAATGACAGGAAAAATCAAAATCGGCTGAGTGAACTGTGGAATCAGAGATAAACAGCAGATATTCAAATGTTATCGATGTTTATGCTTTGGACATATCTCAACTGCATGCAGAGGACCCTATCAAAGTAAAGCATTTTACAGATGTAGCAAACCAGGACATGGTATCAAGGGCTGAACAGGTTAACTGCAGTGTGTTATATGCAAGGAGGGAAACAAAGTCGATAATCTCTGCTAGGAAGTAATAAATGTACTTCCTTCATCATGACGTTCAATAAAGTCAAAAAGAGAAAATATTTCCCGTTTCCTAGAAGTCAATTTTGGTAGGAGTAAACAGGCGTGGAATTTGATGCTGCAGGTCGCTGCTGAAAGAGAGGTTGATGCGCGGCTCGTCAACCTCTAACCTCACTACAGCATGTAGTATCAGGATGCTACTAGAAGAGCCAGCATAATAATGAATAATAAATAGCTGAGTATCATGAACCACAAGAGAACGAAATACGGGTTTGTATGGCTGTAAGTGGGTAATATGAAAATCTATAGCTATTATTTTCCCCTAACGATACGCTAGAAAAAATTCAAAAATAAATCGATGAGCTGCAGGCTAGTTTAAAACGTCTAAAAGCGAGGAATTAGTGGCAGGAAATTTCAATGGTAAGTCGTGCGAATGAGGAGAGACGCGCTCCAATTGAAGAGGAACTATCAAATGTGAATTCATTGCAAGAAATGATTTGATCATCCTAAATACTGGGAACGAATGCGACTTTCAACATGAAGACGCATCACCTATTTTGTATTTGACAATACGCTCCATCAAGCTAGCTAAAGGCATCGCTGATTGGTCAGTGCGAGACGAAGAGACCCTGAGTGACCATCGGTACAGAGGATATTCCGCTCCATTAATGGAGGGGCCGCAACATGTCAAAATGCGAAATAAAGGAAGACCACCTTGGAATCCCAAAAAATTGAATGAAGACAAGGCAAAACGCTTCATGGAAGAATACAGGTTGCTGGTTAACATGGGTTGGACGAAAGAGGCGGAAACGCTTGAGGATATGGTCAGAGTAATGGAGGAAATAGAGGTAGCAGCTTGCGACGCATCCATGCCTAGACGTATAAGTCCCAGGAGAAAATAGAAAATGTATTGGTGGACACAAGAAATAGATGAACTTTGAACGAACTGTATTAAGGCAAGAATAATAGTGACAAGAGCCAAGACGAATCTGCACCAAAGAGAGAAATAAAAAGAAGTAAAGGCAGATGCAGGCAGGTACTCCTAGAACAGATCGATAACGACCCATGGGGCATGGCTTATAAAATAGTAAATAAGAAATTCAGGTTGGACTGGAAGGTACCTGGCTTAAATTATTCACAGGATGGACATGGATGAGGAAAGCTACGAGGTACCTCTTTTCCACTAGAGATCCCTGGATGAACAAAGAGAGATCGAATTCACGATTGACGCCGCAGACTACTTCACTGAGGAGAGCGGCTAAAAGCATGAAAACTGGGAAGGCCCCAGGTTTCCATTGGAGTTTCCTGTGAAATACTAAAAATAGTGGCACAGGAGTTTCCGGAATGCCTTTTGGAAATCTATAAACGCTGCCTTGAGGATGAGAAATTCTTTAAGACGTGAAAGAGACAAAAGCTGATACTCCTCCGAAAAGGCCACAAACTGGTAGATCAGATAATCACCGAACGGAGGGCCTTTCACTACCCAGACCTCCGATTGGGAGGGGAGAGAATCAACTGGAAGCGCCAGATAAGGTATTTAGGAGTCGAAATAGATCATAGACTCAGCTTTGGTCCCCACATAAATGTGATGGCAGAAAAGGCGGCGATGACACGAACTAACATCGCAAGAATGCTACAGAACGTCGGTGGCCCGAGAGAAGCCAAAAGAAGAATGATATCTGGCATAGTTCATTGACAGTTATCTGCTCCAGTATGCTGCTCCAGTTTGGGCGGGTTCGCTGGATCTGGAGTCTACCAGACACAAGTACGGTCACGTACAAAGACAAATGGCACAGTGTCAACTTGCGCAGTGCTGGTATTGTCCAGTACACCACCTACCTATCGACTTAATAGCCATGGAAAAAAAGAACGTAACTCGCTTTGAAGGAAGCACGAGCAGACAGTCATCTTTCTCCCAAGCAAATTGAGAGTATTAACGCAGAAGCAAGGAAGTTGCTCCTTGAAGATTGGCAAGGAAGATGGGATGGGGATGTGAAAGGCAGATGGACTTATCGGCTGATTACTAACATCGAGAGATGGGTTAGCCGAAGATTTGGGGAGATGAGTTATTACCTGTTCCAGGCCCTTACGGGACATGGAGGATTTGATAAATACCTCTACGATTTCAGGATTGTAGAGAGGTCCACATGTAATCTGTCACGCGGACATAGATGATGCAGAACACACATTCCAGCACAAGGCATGGGACGCGGAACGGGAGGTTTGTAATGTCAACCTCCAACAAGATATAAACCCAGATAACATGGTCAACATAATGCTGATTTCGCAGGAAAAATGGAAAACAATAGAGAACTTCATATTTCGTACTATAAAGAAGAAAGAGTTAAGACTGAGGAAGCAGAGCATCTGCTACCAGCCAATTTCATACGTGAAGTAGTGTCTAACGACCGTTTCCGTGTGGAGAGCATACGGTTTAAGAGACGGAGATCAGGTTTTTTGTCGGTAGCCCAGTTGGGAGTCCGACATCACCAGCTTCACTGGTATCAATAAAGGATTTCCACCCTCAAAAATAAATAATAATAATAACAATAATAATAATAATAATAACAATAACAATAACAATAACAATAACAATAACAATAACAATAACAATAACAACAACAACAACAACAACAATAATAATAATAATAATAATAATAATAATAATAATAATAATAATAATAATAATAATAATGCAAATTCTCGATCCATTTGCATTTGCTTCTGTCAGCGTTATATGTAGAACAGAATTGCAATATGCATATTAATTTGGCAACAGCCATTAGTCAAAACCACCCAAACCAATGACACCGGCACCACCGTCGTTATCATCATTGTCACTTCTATCTCAAGGCTACCGCCTCCTTGTGTTACACATCATAAGTTTTATTTACGTACACTTAAAATACGCATCGCGCAAAGTAGATAGTCATCATTTTGCTGTACGACAATAAGAATATAATTTACTGATTTCAATGGCTAAAACCCACTTTCATTGCTACAGTAGAATTTTCCAAAAAATAAAGAAAGGTTTCGCGCTTCGCTTGGTTAGGAATTTTTCAAGTGATTGCTGAAGAATTAGTAAGTGTAGTTAGTAAGTAACCGATTCCAATATTACGAAAAAGGCTGTAGCACCACTAGTTTTCAGGAAATCGGTTATCAGCAACACAATATCTGCATCTTTGTTATTAAAACTTTAGCTTTTGAGGCATAGTAAGGTCATATATTTGTTTCGAACACTTTCTGTGCTGTAAATAAAACTCAAATTTTCCATTATTTCATTGTTCAAAATTAACAGAAGATTCTGGAATAATTGGAATTTGATGTTCATGATCTACTTGTTCGAAATAAATTTGTGTATCTAATGTTAATTGCTATACAAATGAATAAATATTTTCAATTATTTACAATAAGTTTTACCATTACCAATTCATACAATATTGCATGGCTAAGAAAATATATACCGGTCGTGATTTTACCTGTACACCGTATTTAGTGTATTTCATTATAACCAGATTGAAAGTGCTGCATTCTAGTGAACCAACTACGCAGTTGGTCTAGTATTTAGTTCAGGGTCAAAGCCGCAGAGTTCAGGCGTCATGCAGTCTAGATCATGAACAATTGAAGGATTAATAAATAAACCCGCGTAGCAGGGGCGGCCATTTCGTATTGAGAGCTGTAAGAGTTGCAAAGCCGCGATGGGTCAGCACGACGCAGGGCGAGGGGAGCTACGATCATGGCACACCATGAACGAGGACAGAGAGTACGATTTGGCAGGCAGTTCAATTGCTGATAACGATGTTCCATCCAACTCCCCTCCCAGGTTAGTATCAAATGAGACTGGCAAGGCGAGCGTACTCCAAGGAAACGTCGGCATTTTGGGAACAGACTATATAACAATAGGAAAATATGACATGTCGTACATGTTTCCTACTTGTATGACAAATGTAAATATATCCAATATGAGGTTACAACTTTATGTCAAAGAAGAAGAAATTGAACGGGTGATTGAATGACGCAACAAGAATCGTTAGAACGTCGTCACTTAATCAATGGCTTCCCATAAGGTATTTAAGATGTAATGTTTCAAATTCTTCCAAATGTTTATAGCTTGCTAGTTTAATTTTCCTTCTAGCTACAATTAATTTACAAATTCCCCACAAAATTGCCCTGGCATATTATTTTAAGATTCACATAAATGTACACTTATAATAAGATTGTGTATGAAAGACAATTTTTGATATTCAGATTTCTTGTGGAAATTATTTTGTATATGTTTTTTTATATGTTAACTGTGCATGTTAATTGGCAACTAATTTTGAGTTTTCTTCATTACGATTCAATAATTTTGTGTCATAAACGATTTAGAAACTAACTAAAATGTTGTTTTGAATTTAATCTATATGTGCAGCAACGGTTTTACACTAGGAGCACAACACAACTTGAATTTAACAGAAAAATTGTAACTGCTAATGTGTGAACATTTCAGAGATACATAATTTATTTGTAGAACTAAAAAATGAAACAAAAGTTAAATACATTAACTTGCACTGCAGTAAAAAAGGTTATGAATATAGTATGTGAGGTTATGATTATAGAACTGTGCAGAAAAACGTTGTTTATTAATACTGCTTTCCATTTCCAACATTGTTAAATTGAGCTATAATACAAGAAATAAAAATTCACAATATATAATAATTATGTTATGTATTTCTTTAGGTAATTCATGTATATAGAATAAGAGATATTAGATATTAGTTTGGTTCTAGACTAATTTTCAATTGTTCTGGTATTTGTAACATGTACTGTAGCGGTACAGAATTATTCAGATAAATTCTATTGAGTAAATCAGACCTAAGGAATTTTGTACTGAAGAAAAAACATACGGCGTCACGCGCGCAGCCCCTTTCTTGCAACGGCCACGGTCCCCTGACCCATTTCGAAGGTTTATGGCACCCCACCCAACAACCGAACAAAGGGATAAAATTGTAAAGCGCCCAGCGGGAGCCCACAGCTGGAATACTTCCGAAACGCTTGTCATCGTAATCGGGGAATCCCGAAGCAATAATTCAGTAGCTGGGAAGCACCCTCAGAGACATGACCTACTTTCGAAACAGTGAACGGAAAAATTCTATACTTCGCCGGAGCCCTATTGGCCAAATTTAGTGTACAACGCCATCACCTTTAGCCAATAGCGAAGCGATCTTTTTAGGGAGCATGAACACATGAGGAGAAAGGGTGGGGAGAAGAGTTAACCTCGTCCGTGACACTTTGAAAAAGCTACATTAGGACAGAGAGACTTCTCTAGGGTGGGAGCCGGTCGCGGAGAGAGAGGTGGGTGCACCTCTAGGACTGGCATTCACTTGAAGTTTATTAGAGAGGAAGTGCAAAGGCACTTACGGGGGGATAGGCGAATCTTTTGCCACTGCTTATCAGCTACAAAATTCGCATTCGCTGAAATTTGTTCGAGAGGAACCGCAGACGCTTCGAGAGACAATCTCTGGGTGCTCCGCACTTGTATCGGGGGTCAATACACCCCGGACATTTACGACTACGCCGAAGCAGCCTCCAGACGGCCCTTCGCTGATGCCATGGACCGCCGCAACCGCCGCCAGCCCCACGCCCTTCTGAAGGCGTGCCCCGGCCGCATTCTTGGAAAGGACATCCCGGCCGCCCACCAGCGCCCTCGCGCTCGCAAGGGCCTACTGATCACATTTGTCACGGAGGGTTTGCAGGCAACGTAATCAGGGCCAATAAGCCCTTAGAGACTATTGTTAAAGCGGTGCCGCGCTGAGGCACAGAAAGGTCCTCAGGGACAAATTTGTAATTGTAGCTATAGAATAATTTTTGTACCACTCTTCTTTAGTTGTTAGTTCTTAATTTCTAATCTTTATTTTATTTTATTCACCATTTTCTTTTCGTCGATGTAACTTCCCTGGTACAGCCCTGTCCAGGAATAAACATTGTCTTTTACCAGTAACCAAATTGTTTGTTTTGAATGCCCATGCATGCTTTCGCTTACAATGCCTTCCATCACTGAATCATATGAGTAAGGGAGTAGGACCGACTGATCTAGAACCGGGCCGCTAACCGCGCGCGTTTCCCTACGCAGCGCGTGTTGGTTGTTACAGTACATACATTTAGAAATAATATATCAGGAGTTGTTTGAAAAGAGATATAAATTGTAGTATTGTAAATATAACACATAAGTTCCTTCCTGGCAATAAGTCAATTATAGAGAAATAACCATTATTACTCTTATTTACTTTTTCTGATCTGAGGTTCAATGTTTGAGAAGCTTTTAAGCACACTACATCCTCAGCTTTACATATTTCGAACCGTGCGATTAATATCAACTTTGATCGGGATCAACCGGAATCAATTTTGATTTCGATAGTTCCTATTACAAGTTACTATGTTAACATTAGTTTTCTTGAAACTCCATCCTGTTAGGCGAAACGACAGTTAACATTCAGTTGTCAACAAACCATTGTTTTTGTTGCTCCTACGTAAACCTGAGAGTCAATCTCACATCGACCATCTGCATTACTAATTTATTCTAGTGTTGCAATTTATAGTTAAACCCACGATAATTGATCAAGGGAAGTTCATATTTCATCTATTTGGCATTAGTGAAACTGATTGCAGTTTTTTCAGATTATCCTGCGTGTTTCCTTTGCGTTTTGTGTGTTTTTATTTTAAAAATCAAATTCATAGCCTTTTTCTTGACTCTGAAAGAAAAATAATTGATAACTCACTTTGCACATGAAAAATAGCTTTGATAAAGCTATTGATGAACGTAACAGCTTCGATTGAGGGGTACATATAATTCCTGAACTGTACTTGAATCAAAGCCGAACATGGTACTATATTGTAGGTGACCCTTTTCAAACAGTAGTTGTAGGAAGACATCGATTAAAATTTTGAACTTTTGCAATTTTCAAAAAATCAGGAATTTAAAGGAAAATGACACCTGTGCCATTCTTTTAATCGTTCTTTTCTCTATCCGAGGACAGTGTTTAATAAAATATTTGGAGCCCTTTCTGAAAAAAAATATTTGTAAGTTTAATTGAAGTTTCATGTAAAGTACCCCACAAATCGGTATATCCGTTTCGAACTTGGAGGGCCTTGACCTCCTTTAAATCGATCAGGAGAATCAATTTGACGAACATTGTCTGAACGACTTAGGCTCTAGCTTTGACAACAGACGGATGGACGGACAGTTAGACGTTTTACGTCAATCGATTTTTTGGGATCATGATCCCGCAAAACTTGAATTCTGACTACATAACATGTTAGTGACGGTACTTTTCTACTTACAGGAATAAGATTTACCCACTTTTTTCTTACCATGGCTGGCAATACGAGATTTTTTGTCGATAAATCACCGTTTTTTTGCATCATTACAATACTTTCTCTATACTGCAAAAGCAGAATGCGAGAAAGTAAAATAAAGTGCTTATCCGAGCATTCTCGCGCTATGCAACATATAAAATGGAACTAGCTTTATGCTAAAGACATGTTACAATTTTGTTACTATTTATGGTCATTGTAATAATACATATTTTAAAAAAATAAGGAAATTAAACAAAAAATAATAAATGTACTACACCATAGATTTAATACCTTTTCCACATTCTTTCTAATAATTTTGTATTAATTAAAAATATTAAAGATTATATATTATTTGTGTACGTTTTCTGGAGCTCCGGCCAACCAACCCTCCCGCACGTCTTTAGGATTATTAGTTAAATTCAGAATAAATGATAGGAACGAGCATTGTGGCCAAATTCTGATCATATACATATTCGCTCCCATGTCATGGAAACGTTTGTGTGAAAATAATAAGCTACAGATTTGATACAATAATCATTTCGACAAAATAATCAAGCCTCCCATTTTTCTCATCTAGCAAATTGAGGGCTCAAGAAAACATGCTCGGAAAATTGAAATTATATAATTACAAATATTGGCATTTGAAAGAAATTAACTTCAAAAATACGTGTCAATTGAAGTCTAGATCACGGATGAGCACAGAGCTCACCGTCGACCAATGATGTTAATCTGGGACGGGTCGCCTAGGGAGGTTTAAGGGTATTCTCCCTCTATCGTCCAGTGAGTCATTGCCCTTAGCGACTGTTCAATGTCCTTTCAATTAGTCTATCTACCACATTAAAAAATGAACCTTAGACGCATCAATTTTGTGAGTCTTTGAAGACCACACTATAAGGAACAAACGAAATAGCATTAACGAAGCTAACTGTTGCGAGGAAAAAGTCAAACGTGGAGTTGAGAAGGGATTAGATTAGATTTATTTAGTCAAAATACAGTAAAAAGTGTATGTGACGTATGGGGAGAAGATAATCTGCGCACGTTTTTTTGAGTTCCAGAATCCCTTTCTATCATTTTAACTATAAATAGTTGAAAGATGAGTAAAAGATAAAGATAAATAAATAAATAAAAATAAAATTTAAAAAGCGCGAGATTAGCGACATTTGAAAAACTAGACGTTTTCTTTCCCGAGATATAGAAAACTTATTTGCAACGGTAAACAAACTGGAAATTTCAAGTTCTGCATTGCTAACAAAATAGTAATTCGCCCTTACCTCTACAAGCAAAAGAAGAGTTCAACAAAATGTGCGCATCGTGAAGCTACATCCTGAAGGATTTTGTATATCTTCCGTTAAAAAGGGTATTCTTGAGGATTTCCAGACACATTGTTCAGAAACATTTCGTCCACATTATTTACGTCCAATATGCATTTTTGTTCACTTCGAATTAGTGCAGAATAATGGGATGTCCATAAAAATTTCGTCCACTTTTTTATGTCGACTTAAAAGAATGATCCACTGAGCATTGAGGGCTATCACATTGAAATGTCCACTATCATGTGTCCATTTTATAAATTTTTAGTCCACAATCCGTTGTAAAAGAAATACATATTTTATTGAGTTACAATATTATACAATTAAAGATTTGATACTTTTCCATTTCCCTCTTCAGTATAATACAATTTCTTTCCAAAGCTAATGCTACGCAAATATAAATCTATATTATTATTTTCAGCAAATTGTTGATACCGGTTTAGAAGTGATTATTTTATTTATCTGGGGAAAAGTTCTTTCTATAATACTATAGGTTATCATCAATTTTCATTATTATTGGTGCGATTGAGCTTACTTTCGAGTTTCTATATCTTTTAGAGCTATGTTTATCAATTGACAAGTAGCTATAAAAGTATAGTAAAACTGACTATTATTAGTAATTGATATTGTGTTGCGCCCTAAACGGTTGAGGGACTCCTCACATTCCGTGAAACTAATTTATGGATTGCTGAGAGATTTCATAATTAAATCATGAACTTAATGATGATAATAATACAATACTTTAGTAACATTATTTACTTTTCATATGACCTAGGTAGTTGTGTTGAGCATTCAATGATGGGAGTGAGTTTAAATATATTAAATATTTTATTAAGAAAATCGCTTAGTTAAGAAAGTTTTTGAAACTAGGCTTTAGTCATTCAGAAGACGATTACATATAAAACGCTTTTTTCGTCATTATAAAGACGCTAGTGACAACTATGGATGCAATTGCCCCAGACTTGATTCTCAATGGGAAATACTACTGAAGGAAGTCCCTTCTATATAAGCCCCTTTCTTTCATTAGATTTGAATGCGTTAAAAAGAGAAGTAAAACACTTGTGAATATAAAGTGTAAGAGTGCTTTATTTTCAATTTAGTATGAGAATTACATTTAATTTAAGGGGAACCATAGTAACAAATTACAGCTGTAATGACATAGATTTAATTTGTTCATTGAAGAGAAGAAATAAATTATTTCATATCCAACATTAGTTGTTTGCATTAAGTTGTTTTTACACATGAATTCTTGCAATCACACAGCGCAAGGAGGCAAACACGAGCATAATGGAGTTTTTCTGGTACGAGCGTGTGTGACACTTCGACGAAAGTGACAGTCTTATTAATAAGAAATGTGTGCAGATTAAGTGAAAAGATTGAGGTGTCAATTAATTTAATAATTATTTGTTTGAAAGTGACGAGGGTAACATAATTGATTTAGCGCGATAAAAAGTATGAAGAATACTGTCAAGCGTAAAAGAATTAAAAGTTTCAAAACTGTTCAATTGTAATATTTGTATTTCTTCCTTTGAACGGTTACATTTTAAAGGTCATCGAAGGCATTATGGGAGCAAGTATTTCTGCAGCGAAAGCTCTCATAGTGCACATTGCGCTTCTTTGAGATCGTGCAAGTGGGTTGCAGCAGAACCTTAGTAACAGACAGAAATCACTGTGTTCCAGGTCTCGATCTCTGCTGATTCCCCACGGTACCTCGCCCGCATCTTCGGCATTTTCTCACACTGTGTTGGAGCTCCGATGGTCAAATGGAAGTCGTGTTTGAGGATCTCAGCTGTCGTCTTTTGCATTTCACTTCGTGAGAATCGTAGAATTTATGTGATGTTCTGCCAATTTCTCGGGGAGTCGCTTTTTTGAATTCGATAGCATCAAAAAGTAGTCATCGTATCGGCTTTCCGCAATGACCGGTATGAACGTTCACTCTGTACGTGCAGCCTTCCTCATGCATTTCGATATCGAGGCGCTTCCAGCCGTGGCGGTGGCGTTCGATGCAAGTACAGGCAGCAGTGAATCCTGCGGTCGGGCGCAGCTTGCCGTTGGCAGTCCGTCTCCTCGTTGAGCGTAGTCGTATTTTGCGGTCGTCGTGTATTGGAATCGGTGAGGACACTTGGAATGCGACGGCGTCGGCGATGCCCGGGTGTCGACCAGCGTTGGAGCCGCAGTCGCAGCCGCCCTCACCCAAGACCTGGCTGTTCCACCTGCAGGGTCTTTCTTGATCCGCGGGCCACGGCCCGGGAAGTGCTCCGAAGAAACACCTGGTTGGCGCAACATGCGCGTCGCAAGCAGCTATTGACTTGACCAGGCGTGCAGCCACCGCCATGACGTTTGAAGGCGACCGCCCCGCGCAAGGCTCGCGCAGAAAAGCCGTTTGGGCTAGGGCTCTGTCGGCGGCGGGCGCGACGGCCGCGGCTGTCCGCTCGTCGAAAGGAGCTGGAGGCGGCGAGGCGCGGACGCGCGGAGGGCCGCGCTAGGCCGCAGAGGCAGCGAAGGCAGGCGCTGAGAACGGACAGCCCCAGACGCGGCGTGGCGGCGACGCGCGCGAGGGATGCAAGGGCGCAGCGAGGGGGCGGGGGCTTCGCGCTTTAGCAAACGCATTTTCAACGATGACACACTCATGCAAAAGTAAACGATGTAGGTCATTGCATGGTTTTGGTACTTAACATTACTGCTACTTGGCTAAACATAACCAAATAACAGCCGGCCACTGAATGTTTTTTTATTTACTTCATTTCTTAAGCCAGTTTGGTTCGTTTATGTTATTGTGTAAAAAAATTTTACCGGGCAAACAATACGTAACCAATTGTGAAATTAACACAACGAGTTTCCATGAAACGCTATGTTCTTCCATCCCTACCTCATCCTCGACGTCGCTTTGGAGGGGCTAGGACGGCGTGGGCGTAGGGCGTGGGCCGAGGTCGCGGCGCCGCCAACACAACAGCCCGACGCACAGCACCTCATCGAGCGTGACCGGCGGCTGCGCCTGCTTGATGTGCCGGTGGCGAAGCGTGATGCGTTCCCTGTCCTCGTAGGGGCTACGACTCGCATGACACACACGCCCATTCTTCAGCTTCCCCGCATCAGAGAAGATTGCGTAGAAGTTTTATTATTTAGGCCAATGTCTTGAAAATGCGTTCGCGAAATACCTAGGGTTTCCCTGAGCGTTGACATAGGTCCGCAAGATTCACTATTTGCTCAATCAAATAACGTAATGGAATATCTCACCAAGATTTTTTCAAATGGAACAGGGGTCTGTTTGTAAAAATGTTACATTAATATATATTTAAGTTAAAAATAACTATTAATATAATTGATTATAGAAGTCAGTTCTATGTATAAAATTGAAAGATTGATCAAACAATGAAATTATAAGAATAAAACCAAATACCAACATTTGTTTGTTTTTTTTCATTTTTTAGATTTTGTTTTCACTTTTCAGTTATCAATAATTTTTGTCACAGATTAATGAAGGTAAAACTACATTTCGTGAAACGTATTTCAGAATATTGGGAAAATGAACATTTTTGAAACTTTCTGCTACTTTGACTTGTCCAAAAAAAAGGGATACTTGAAGCGTTAATCATTATGTGATTTGTCTCTCTATATTTATATATTTTAACGTTAAAGCAATTTAAATAGAAAAAGATTTGATAAAGTATTTTAATTGTTGGTAACATAGGTTTATGGAGAATATGGGCAGTATTGGTCAAGGTAGCGATTGAGTAGGAAAGTGTGATTTGGTGGAGGAAAACAGGAGTTCAGTGGGGAGGGAGAAAGTTGGGCAATGGATATTGGTGAGTGATAGGAGAGAGGTAATTCTGAGGCGGATTGAAATAAAAAAGAGAGAATTTTAGTTGTGAGGAACACGCCAGAGTCGCGCCTATGGATGAAGCTCATTAGGGAGGATTGGCCTCGCTGACAACTTGAAATCGTTGCCTTCTCCAGCAAAAGGCTCACGGATGCTTCCAGGATCTTTGATCCATTTTATGATTGTCCACTGTTATATGGTCACTTTAATTTTGCAAGAATTTGTCATTCTTTTTATCCACAAAAGTCGCATGGTATATACGTCTATTGATTCATAAGTTCACATTAAATTATGTCTATTTCCTTTAATCACATTATTTCATTTTCTTTGAAATTCACAAAGTGTTAAGACCACAATTTAATATGATTATTACGCCTCAGGTGTCCTCCGCAGTTATGCAATGTATTATGGTAAGTGTTCACGAGGAGAAGAACAAATATTTGATGGAGGTCTGGCATTCGAAATTCTCAGAAGCTGAATCGTGACACATCATGCAGACAATATAAAAGTTTATTAGACTGTATTAAAAAAGAATTAAAGGGACAATAAAAAACGGAAATCTCGTTATTTACAAACCTATGGCGTGATGACAATCAGATTAATCCTATTATACATGTATATAATATCAATGTCAAATTGAACATTTTAACCGTAT